CCCCCTGAAATTTTGTTCCCCCCCCATGTGCTAATGAATGAAAGCCCCCTTACCTGTGAAGATGGTGCAAATGAGTTCATTGCCACTCTTCTGTAGCACCTCTGTTACACTGTTTGGTAACGTGTCTCGGTTTTTCTCCAGGAAACCAATGCTGTCGTACTCAACCTAAAAACACAGACAGACAGACACAATACAATACCATCAGACAGACAGACAGACACGATACCATACCATCAGGCGGACAGACAGACAGACAATACAATACCATCAGGCGGACAGATAGACACAATACAATACCATCAGGCGGACAGACAGACAGACACCATACAATACCATCAGGCGGACAGACAGACAGACACAATCAAACAGATAGACACAATCAGACAGACAGATACACTTCAACATATTATAGTCTAGTAGGTTTGACACAGTAACGTTGGTGCTTGTTTTCAGCTCGTAAGAATCTTAGCATTAGCACTAAACTCCTAGACACCCTGTGAAGAACATACCTTGCCAGCGTAATGCAGGATAGTAAATTTTTCGAGTCGTGATTTGTTTGAGGTCACCAAGTGCTTGCTTTTTCCACAGTTCTTGATCAGCTTCTGCACAAAGGTTTGGTCTGTACTCTAGGATAACAAAACCACAGATAAAAGTGTTAAATCAAAAAGAAATTCCAGTGGGAAAAAATGCCTTTCCCCCCCCCCCCCCCCCCCCAAACGTTTTGACTGATCTAGTTCCTTGACAAAATACCACTACAGCCTACTTAGTTACTCCTGTAACAAGTTTGTTTTACTTGTTTGCAGGGGTTACGTTAACTAAATACCTTTTTACCTTGGGCATAATGTTTTCCCATTTCAGACCATGTGTCATTTCCTACAGTATCGTTTCTTTGTTTAACGGTTGCACATGGTAAGAAGACACATAAATATAGATACAATTTAAACAAAGAATCTTATCCTCAAGAGAATGATATTTGTTCTGAAATGAGAAAACATTACGTCCAAGGTAAAGAGGTTTATAGACCCCTTGCAGCACGTTGGAATGCAGCTCAATTTGGAGGACATAACAATAGGGTTCCGATTCACAGAAGATTGAAATTCTTTTGTTTTGTCCTCCAAATTGAGCTGCTTTGACATCACATCCAAGGGGCTATTGAGATACAGATACGATGAAATGTTTGTGTGAATGGTCGATGCATAAACCTGCGTCCCTTAATGCTGCATTTCTACATACTATACATAGTAGCTCATCCAATCAGAACGCAGCGTGGATGATTATAACCACTAGTTGGATTTGACCAAACATAGAAAAAATTATTTTATTATTCAACTATTCACTTTAAGTAGAATCAATCCTGAGAATATTGAATCACAAACTTACCTGTGGGAAGTGACTTTCTTCGTCCAGAAGAGCTAGGAGGCCAATTGGTTTGTTGAGAAACAAGTCCTGGAAAGAAAGAGGCCATTTAACATATACTGTATTTCTTTAATGTTTTATACTGCTGCGAGGTAAGCGACCGCAAATGAACCTCAGTCCTTTCCTTTTTCTAGACGAATTTTGACAAGCATTGTTGAACCTAGTCCAGGGGGCGCTTATCATTTTCCCGGAAAAAACGGAAATTCTGGTTGGAAGACAAATGGTATATATCATTCCGTTTGGAGAGTTCCAGAAAACTCAGTCTTCAGATTGAGGTAATCCACTTTTCCCGCTCTTTTCTTATAATTAGCAAATGAATTTTTTAACCGGATGGATTGGTTTAAATGGTAAGCTCCACAGATATCGACCAATACTTTTCTCAATCACTAATTATGCCTAGGTATGCGGCGTGTATATATTCCGAAGAAAATTGAAAAAATTTAAACTTTTATTTTTACTCGTCCCAGTTCTCGTTCAGTTTACTTCGTCGCGCACTCGAGGAGATAAAAGTGGGTCCAGTTCTGGACTATGCTGATCAAAAAAAGGAACTTGTTTTCACGTGCTCTCGTTCGTTCGAGGGGGGGGGGTATGGGGGGTTTCGGGGTAGCAATGGAATGTAAACTCGCGTATGTGTCATTGGCTTTCCCAAAAACTTTTTAGGTTAAAAATGGTTTTAAAGTTAGAGGCAATCGAAAACATCGCACAGATGCACAGAAACATACAGGGGCTTTTTCTATTTTGTTTGTTTGTTTGTTGTTGTTGTTGTTTTTTTGGTGCAATGAGCGAAGATGGAACAAAAGATCTTACCAAAACAGGTTTGTTGTCTTCGAACGTGATGGTCGTCCAATCAATTTCTTCTTTCTTGTACTCTTCTTGTTCCCACATGAAAATATGCTGCAAACCAAATGCCAACACAGTTGGTAAATAAAAATATAGGACTTACGGCTTGTGCAAGTGGCTTTTAGGAGTCTTAATTGCGATGGAATGGTCAGAAGAAGAAGCAGCTTATGAAGAAGTGAAAACCAGAAAACGGAGTCAGAATTGAAAGCAGCAGAAGGGTATATAATTCCTAAGTCACGTGATACCTGATTAAAGAAGAACTGTAACTGTTCATTGGCCAGATTAATGCATGACTGCTCGAAGCTGTTGTGCTCAAAATGCTCAAACCCAAAAATATCCAAGATTCCTGAAAGACAATGACACCTTAAATTGCTACGATCATTGAAGTGCGACCCACAAAGCTCTATGTCTCGTTTGCCGACTAGCATTTCAGTGACTGTCAATTAAAGAACTAGTTCTTTGACTGATGGTCGTTGAAATGCTAGCCGGCAAACGAGACCGGGTCGCACTTCAATGATAATGGTAGTAAACAAGTGAATAAAACATTTTCTAAAATGAAAAATACTGATCGAGCTAATTTTAGAGAAAAGGGAATCCTAGGTCAGGAAACTTGAGAAAAATTAGATGTCAAAGCACAGGGTTCATCATTATATTACCTATTTCCATGACCCTTGTCCCTTGGGCCAATGCAGGTGGCGCTAGTAGATGGTTGATCTTGTTGACTATCCAGCTGAATAGGCGACCATACAGGGCTTTAGCAGTGGCGTCTCGCACATCTATGACAAAAAAAAACACTGTTATATTCTAAAATAGTTGCTATGAATAATACTATAAAAATGTGAAAAATGGGAGGGAATGTTTTGGTGAGAAAAAATGAAAGAATGGGAGAAATGAAAAAATTGAAGGAAAATTTGATGTCTGACAAAAAAGCAAAAAAATGGGAGGGAAATGATTAATTTCTTTACTGAGAAAAAATGAAAGAATGGGAGAAAAATGGACAGACCGACCATCTATGAAAGAGCTTAATAGACCTAATCCAATGTTTTCCCATTTCATACCACATGTCATTCCCTAGAGTATAATCTCTTTGCTTAATGGTTGCACATGAGAAGACACATGAATATGGATACAAATCAAACAAAGAATCTTATTCTCAAGAGAGTGACATGTAGAAATGGGCAAAACATTTCGCCCAAGTGGATTTGGTCAATACAAAAGTTTCCTAATAGGCTCCCTGTGGAATATGCTCCAATCCACAGGTAGCCCACACATATCAGATGTTGCTGACCCACCTAAAGCTTGATGCTTATGAAGCCTTCTTCTGATAAGACTTCCACGAGTTACAGTCGTGGTGGAGGTTAATACACTGCTGAGCTTCTCCGGGTCTGTACCCAGGAGTTGCTAGAAGATAATCGACAGGAAAAACGATTTGTAAAAAAAGAGAAAATTTTCAAATGTAAGTGTCAGTTGGTATCATTTTTGTTACCAATCATGCTGAAAACTTAATATTCTAGGTAATTTGATTAGTAAGTGTTATGGCTATAATATTTTACATTACTGTAGATATTCATTTTAAGTAGTGATGGCTTATAAATATTGCTTGTAGCAGATGAAGTACTGCTTGTCTTCATTTGGAAGATGGAGGCTGGTTTCTGTTTCTATTGTTGCAGGCAATACATTTCTGCTATTTTTGTTGTTGCGGATGCTATTGATGTTGATGCTGTTGTTGCTGCTGCTGCTGCTGTTGCTGCTGTTGCTGTTGTTGCTGTTCCTGCTGCTGCTGTTGCTGCTGTTGTTGTTGCTGCTGCTGTCATTGTTGCTGCTGTTGTTGCTGCTGTTGCTGTTGCTGCTACTTTTGTTATTGTTGCTGCTGCTGCTTAGTCAGCTAATATTCACTTTTACAATACTCAGTTTTGGCTGACTACATTAAGACTTGATAGACAATGCTTTCATTGTTGCCACTGGCATTACCATAACAACAAGTGTTTTTATTCTTACTCATTCTGTACTTACTGCTGTTATCTTGAGCTCTTCCTGTTTGTCCATTGTCACAGCTCCATCATCTTCTCCTTCTTCTATCTCAATATTTCCCATGTTTAACACCAGCGACAAGATCTGGAACATGTTAGTTTGTTCCTAGCAAAACATTAATAAAAAATAAATAATAAATATAGGCTTTAGTTTTTAAAAAACTAATTTATTCGCATCAGTGAGTGCAAAAGGAGATATTGAGGTTAGCCCTATCGTGAATATCTCCTAGGATCGAATTAGAATTTAGTAGTTGGTTTTTGAAGAGGAAGGAAAACCGGACAAACTGGAAAACCCTTGAAGCACAGGAGAGAACCAACAAACAACTCAACTCACGTACAACACTGAGCTTGTTGGGACTCAAACCCAGGTTGCATTGGTAAGAAGTGAGTCCTCTCACCGCTAGTCACCACTCATGCTTCCCTTAAGAGAAGGAGAAGCAGAAGGATGAGGAAGAGGATAAGGAGTCACAACACATCAGCTATGTTTTCTTACCTCTTCCATAAACCCCACCAAGTCAACAGCATTCATGAGTGTGTCATACAATTCTTTGTTCTTCTTAACATCTTTATTTTTGAAGCCATTAGTAAAGAAACTGTAAAGATTTAACAAAAAATCAAGCATTATAATTGACAATTGATTGAGATGAATTTGATGAGAACATTAAAGACTACAATGATGTTTGATGATAATTATTAGTGACGGACCATTAGATTTTTGAGGGGGGTGGGCAATTTATTTTGTGCAGGAATTTGTTTTTATGCCTCATGGCTGTGCAGGACATACCTTGGAATTTTTCTGGCACTTTTCTTATGTGACAGAGTCAAAAGACACTATTTTGG